AAGTTCACTGAAAGAATCATTTCAATATATTTTTTTGCTGTTGATTAATGGATCGCAGAAAAAAACATACACGATGCAAATCTGTCTGCTGTAAAGCTTTCATAAGTATGCAGGGCCGAGTGCAGAGAAGTGACAAATCTTCCTTTTATCAACCTGTTTAAAATACAATATATCTGCCGTAAGTGGAGTACAATACTGAGCTTTAAATATATAATATATGACTACAAAAGAGCAGCATATGAATATTTTAGCATGGCAACCAAAAAAACTCGAGCTTCAGTTGCAGACTGTTAATGGGGACGGAAAACACAAACATGTTAATGTTATTTAAAAGTAGAAAAATGTAAAAGTATTGGGACAAAACTACTCAATTCAAGTAGGGTCATCTTCTCATAGACTTCTATACAATCAGAGGAGTCGCCCCCTGGTGGACATTAGAGGGAATGCAGTTTTGAGACACTTGCATGTAGCCTGCTTTTGCTTTGCAACAGTTTCATAGACACGTAGGCTATAATGCAGAACATAATGAAGTGCAAAGACATTGTTCTTGGGCTTTAGATTACGTGTAAGCAATAATTTGTGGTCGTTCCTTTTAATATTTCAATGTTAAACTGCCTTCTGATCCTGAATCTAATTGGGATTATAGTCATGCTAGTGTCTAACAACGGAAATACAACAACACGTCTGCCACAGTACCTTTTGGAGAAAATACTCCAGCAGACGGTGATAGAAGCTGCAGAAAGCTGGTCTCTTAACTGAGCTGAATTATGGAAATGAGTCTTCATCCTGTTAAGAGGAGGCCATGTGAAATAAGGAGACATCCTGTCCAACAGTTTGTGTCCAGGAGCAGAATTGAATATAGCACAGCGCGCAGAAAATGTGATTAAAACTGTATTTTTGGGGGGAGTCCTCCCACCGGTTTTCCAAAAGCAAACTGTGAGGTTTGAGCAGGGGCCCATTTCACCAGAGCTGTGACATGCAAGCTGCGACTGTCAACATGTCCACTCATTCATTTTGACTTGTTTCACCTGTCGAACCAAACAGCGCTCTAATGACCCGTGCCTGAGTTAGCAGGAGCCCTGAGGAACCACATGTACCTAATGAATGCTCTAAAAAAGGGACAATCGTCTGTGAAACACGAGGCTTCCACCAGGTTTGTAACGTGCATCTTAGCTTTGCTCACAAATCAATAATGAGAAACAGGCCCCAAGTTCACAAAGCAGACAGGCACTGACTCACAATGTCTAATATTCATAACCTAATTTGCATAATTTGTTCAAAATGATTGTTTCATGTTGTTTACATATTTGAGTCACGGGTGTGTACAGAATGGGTTTTAAACCTCAGTTCATTACTCACATTTAGATGATTATTTTTTGTATTACAAGTTTTCTGAAATGGTATGTTTAAATATGTTAATGAGGCATTATCTAATGGTGACTTTTGGTGAATTTAGGATAAACGCAAAAACGTTGACTGAAGTGCTGCTGAACACAGAGCAGAGAGGAGAGGAAAGGAGAGGAGAGGAGAGGAGAGGAGAGGAGAGAAGAGGAGAGAAGAGGGGAGGAGAGAAGAGGGGAGGAGAGAGGAGAGGAGAGGAGAGGAGAGGAGAGAGGAGAGGAGAGGAGTGGCTGGAAGTAGAGGTTGTAAAATTGTCAACAGTTCAATATATTTATATATAAAACGTAGACTCTCCATTTATTTTCCCACTTTGGTAACACTTGTGGGCACTTGGAGAAATGTTGGATATAAATATTCCATTGTTTTCCAATTTATGTAAAATAAATTATCAAAGAAATTCAACATTCGTTTTTATGATTTATGTTATTATAACTGTGTTATTCTTCACAAAAGACATCTTAGAGTTCCCTCTACTTCTAGTCATGATTGTGATGTTTCCACTTTATCATTGCAGAGAAAATCAAGACCACAGAGAGAAAGACGTGATGCCCCAAAGCGGCTCGGGGTTCAGAGGTTTAACCGAAGCAGTGGCAGACCGTGAAGCCTTTTCTGTCACAGCGTTTTATGGAAGTTTCTTTAAAGACAATGAGAGACAACATATTCTATCATTTAGTCTGGAGGACTTGTTGAATGGGGCGAGTTAATTATAATTGAAGACTAAAATTAAAGTAAATGTGCACACATGAATCCAATCAGGAGTAGAAAAAGAGGCGCAAAACCGTCCCTCGTATGGAGAGAACCTGCATACTGATCGCTCTATGGTGGCGTGTTGAAGACGAGAGCACCAGAACACTGGCCGGGATTTCACTGTTGCCCACTTAGGGAGCCACGGTGAAATAAATCTCACACAAATCTCGGGCAGAAGACGTGGCAGATCCGTCTAACACCGGAGGACGGCAGCCAGCTTCATAAATATGGAGGGCAGAGTGTGTTGAGGAGCGGGGAAGGAGGATGAATATTTTACCAAGCCGAAGCCAGTGCGAGACCGATGCCGAGGATGGCCAGAGAGAGAGAGAGAGAGAGAGAGAGAGAGAGAGAGAGAGAGTACAGCTGGTTGCTTCAGTGTTATATAACACACACACCCAAGCAGATGGACACACACAACACAAACGGACACTGGTGTACAAACTGGAAACACACATGGGACCCGACAGTGGGAAGCGCAGCGAAACGTGCGCAGTAATAAAAAAGCAGAGTGACAAAAGAAATTAAACACAAACGACAGAAAAGATGAATGACCACACATATTCTGTAAATCACACACACACACACACACAGGCTTGTAGCTGCTGTCCACCCATGACTGCATTCATCCATCTTATTTTCATGGTACACAAAATGCCAGCCCGTCTGAGACAATAACTGGCTTGATGCACACGTGAGAAACACGGGCGTGCAGAGAGAGATGTAGGCCCTGTAGCTCAATGCTAAAGGGAGAGGAAGTCTCATTATCAATGAAAAATACAACACATCTCCCAAAACCAACAGGGTTTAACATATAAGGTGGTCTCACAACAAGCCAAACATGAAGATCAGAAGACTAGTGAAGCGACCGTTTGTATGAGAAGTAGCTTCATTTGCAAAACACCATTATTGACCACGTGTCATGCCTAAGGTGCACATTAATTGCATGAGTTATTAAGCCGCTTAGACGACTATTTCAATAATTAGTTGCAGCACAGACAGAAACGGAAAGTTTTCTCGCTAATCATCTCCTTCAACCGACAGTTTAGTGAGTGTAAAATAATCTGCACACAGCTCAGCCGCCACTCAAGGTATCAACAAGTACAAGGTCTCTACAGCGAGCACAGATTACTGTCAAGAGGCCACACCAAAAGAAAAATATTGAATTTTTCATTGAATCAATTTGAGGGCAACTGTCTGTATGCTATGACCAAATCGGTCTCACTCCAAACTCGTCAAATACCGACAGTTGGTCAGTCTCCATCAGCGTCCGATACCGACGCACGGAGGCGCCCTTTAGCTTCTATATGAGATGCACCGGGCTTTGAAATAACTGATGTAAACACACCTGCTATCATCATTAAAATAGAGAGAGAGGCCACGCAGGGCAGGTGGCTCAAACGAACACGGGACTGTCAGCCAGGAGACCGCTGCTCTTGTCCTAATTGAAACTTAAAAGTGTCGTCAAGCACTCTTCTTTTACCTCCTGACCCCAACGAAGTGGTTTGGTTGCTTTGACCTCAACCTTCCTCTGAAGACGGAAGTTTATTTTGAAAAGCCACTCTGCGTGTAACGATCGAAAACGATGACATCGTCCCTGATAGCTCCAAAACTGACGCTTGAATCTTGGGGCCACCAACTATTTGACGGAAGTGAGGATGTGACCCATTTTTAAAGATTTACATTTTCAGTGGGAGCCAATGGGCTTCGGTGCTGAATGCCACAAGGGGTAGAGGAGTCAGAAGGTATTACGGGACGGACGAATACTTTATTGGTTCTGCTTGTTACATGAAGCCTTATTCTTTAAACCCCGAAGAGAGATATACAATATCTCCAAAAGCATAATAATGGAAACGCACGAACCTGGAAACGCAACGTGTTCATTCGTTCATTCACTCCCTCAGGTGTTCAAAGTTCTGAATCAACCCCCCCTTGTTCGTTAAGCTAAAAACCCATCGTTTAGATGGAAGAGCCGGGCAAAGGGCGAGACAGCATGAGTCACACAGGGAGAGAGAGAGAGAGAGAGAGAGAGAGAGAGAGAGAGAGAGAGAGAGGCATCTAGCTGAAAGAAAAACAGTTATACCTGAGAACAAATGGAAACCCTAGTTCCCTTGAGGGCTAATTTGCACACACACACACACACACACACACACACACACACACAAACACACACACACACACACACACACACACAGAGGTTGAACACTACAAAGCAAGAGACTGATATGGAAATGAGAATGACAGCATTCCACCTTAAAAAACAAAAACAAGGTAACCTCTAACTATAAACTAAAATGTAAACAGATGTCTTTGAATGCCTCTTTCTTCACACACACACACACGTAGAAATATAAACCCACACACACACACACACAAGCACCCAATCAAGCACATCCACAGCGCTCATCGTATTCAATGCACACGCGCAAAATCACGACTACCACCTTAAATAACAACGCTGCAAGGTGAATTGAGTGAGCTAACACGCACGCTCACACACCCTTCAGTACAATATCAACACAAGATAGCGAGGGAAATGGAACACACACACACACACACACACACACACGCCCTCTCACGCAGCATATCTGCATGCTAAAACACACACACACACCTTTAAGTCGACCGATACACACCCATATTAACGCAGTCCAACGCCACACACACGCGTGTAAACACTCTCCCAACCCGCCCCCGCTTCTGCCTCCACGCCTTTCCCACCCACTCAAACACAGACACACTCTCGCCCACACACACACACACACACACACACACACTCCATCCATCCATGCATCCAATCCCCCCCCCCTCTCTCTCCCTCTTTCTTTATATCCTCCCTCTCCATCCACCCTTACCTTGCAGCAGGCTCTGGAGGTTGAGCTGCGCCTGCTGGTGCAGCTCCTCGACACACTCCGGCCTGCTCCACGAGCCGAACACGTTCACGCTCTGTTGCCATGGAGACCTGAAGTGGGCCGCACCACCGATGCCGCCGCCGCCGCTGCTGCTGCTTCCTCCTCCTCCTCCTCCTCCTCCTCCTCCACCGCCGCTGCTGATGCTGTGGTTGCCGTCGCCGTGGATGCTGCTGCTGCCGCCGCGCCTGCCGCTCTCCGCCTCTAGACCGCTGGTGGCTGGAGGACAGAGAGGGAGGGAGGGAGGGAGGGAGGGAGGGACAGAGGGAGAGAGAGAGGGAGGGAATAAATGTTGGGAAGAAGTGATGGATGGGAGGGGAGGAGAAAGGGCAATAAGGACGGGAAATAAGATTATTGAAAGGAAGGAAAAGGAGGGAGAGAAGGGGAAGAAGATAGGACAAGAAGAGGGTGACAGTGAAGAGCGATAGATAGGGGGAGAAAGGGGGGAGAGAGGAGATTAAAGATGAAGGAGGGGGAGAGAAGAAAAGGGGAAATGAGGGGGGACAAAAGAGAGGGATGAGAGGATGTGAAAGTAGATGAGGCAGAGAGGAAATAGAGGAGAAAAGAAGGGATGGAGGGAGGAGGAAGAGAAACCACACGTAAATAAAAATGTATGAATTTGCATAACTAATACCCGGAGACGCAGATTACATAACGCAATGTGTTGTCAGGGAGAACAAGGACCGAGGAAGAAAGGAAGGAGGGAAGGAGGGAAGGATAGAGGGTGTGTGGGGGGGACGGAAAAAAAGTAAAAGAAACAGGGATTAGGGAGAAAACGGAGGAGAGGTAGAGAACAGATTTGGAGGAGACACAGAGAGAGGGAGCGCTTAATTAGGAGGGAAGAAGAATGGGAGGAGAGCGAGATGGAGAGGGAGGAAGGGAGGGGAGAAGGAGGGATTAGGGCAGGGAGGTATGAGAGAGAGGAAATAAGACAAATTGTGATTGTAGCATTAGGGAGAGAAAGAACAACAAGGTCGGGAGGAGGAGGGAAAGAGGGATGACATTTAAAAGGGAGGAGAACGGAGGGATGGAGGCAGAAAGGGGGGAGTAAAGAGGCTGAAAACAGCTCCCCCCCATCAAAACAGACAATCACAACAAATCACTCGGCGCGATATCACAAATGGCCATCCATGAATGAAGGTGTCGCTGTGAATCGGTGTTGACTGAATAATTTGAACACATCCAGCAGCCGATAAAACACGACGAGCGAATGCAGAGCAGTCGATCTGAGCTCGTCGAACGGCTTCAAAAAGAAACGCCACAAACTTTCTGTGAGAACAAAGTCACTGAAATCATCATCTATTATTAGTTCATGATGGTCTACACGAGGTAGTAAGTCACAGAAGCATTACTGCAAACGTGAGGTGAGAATCTGTCCAGTAGGAATGAACAATTCTGCAAAATAACTAACAATGAGACATTAGCTTCTTTTGAGCTTCAACTGCAGAAACATTCTCCTAAGATGATTATTCCTACGATAAAACTTGGATAAGTAAAGTGAAAGATCGTCAGCATATAGATTAAATATCAGTTGTGGGTCTGAGACGGGATACAGATGTTCCCCGGCCATGCAACACTCCAGACTCTGACCTTCGATCACACGTTCATGACACGCTGCTTCCTGCTCTGATCATTGGACCCCAAACGAAACATAACTTCTAGGGAGACTCGAAAGCCTTTTTGTATCGGACTCGGTATGGAAACTCTGACTTGCATTACCTCTGATTAGATAAAGACGCTAAATCTATTTGAGGGGTTAATTAGTCGCCGGTCAGTACAGGAAGTGGCTGAAATATTGAGGAACCAAGACACACACAACAGCATGTTCCTACTAAAGAGTCACGTACCAAATAAGTTAAACAAACAGGATACTAATGTGCATTTCACTCAATCTCCTATCAACATCCATACCAATAAAAAAAGACCGAAACTCTCAGGCCTCAATTTAATTTCTCAATATTTCAATAATATATGATCCTCTGAAGTACTTCGTAGAACATCGGTGGAAAAACAACTCACTGTGAGACAGATCCCTGTTACAGAAATGTCACTTTGTCCATGTCAGAGTGTTCCTGACGCACCAACTACTCAACAAACTGCTTTGGTTGAGCTCCTCAGATAAACACCAAAAAACTCTGTAGGGGGGGGGGAATGTGCAAAAAGTATTTCTTGATTTGAAGTTGAAAAAAAGAGTTTTAATATTTAAAGAACACTCAGTTCCCGGCAGACAGACGCATACAGTGATTCCGCAGCGAATGCACCGGCACTATCGTGTCTTGTTTGCTCTGAAGCAGCCGTCTCTCCTCACAAACCCAGCCGTTACTGTACGGAATCACGATTTCACCCTCCCAGCTACCGGCTTCATCTTCCCTTAAGCTGCTTTCACACAATCGTCTCCCGCCAGAGTAAGAGCGGCTGTTTGTGATACAGAGTTGCATGTCAGTTAGCATCAGAACAAAGCAATCGTGCATGATTTATAAGGTACTGTAGAACAGACATATAATCTCACCATGGAGCCTATGCCGTTTCATTTTGGAGCCTTAAATGCATTTATTTTGACTTAAATCGGGTGCACTTTCTTCTGCATTGTTTCTCTCTGAAGCTAATCTGTGTTTACTGGATGTATGTATTGTGTTGTGAGCCTTGCTGCGAGCTAAATATCCCATTAGGGAACTTGAGTTTGAAGTGGAGGCTCATCCAGCAGATTATACATAGTTTTTTATGTTCTGTCTGTAGAATTTTAAGCAAGGTAAAAAACGTTTTGCACTTGCTTTGTTGTATTTTTTGGGACAATTTCTTTGCGTCCGTTAGGCAACAATAACTTCCAACATACGGCCAAAAATCTTTATGAGCTGCTGTTGTTATTAACTAAATACGTACTTACACAAAATTACAACAAACTGTAGTAATTATGACGGGAACGACGAAGTCGGTGAGGTAGCCGCGGACGGAGGAGGTAAGGTGTACAAATGGGTCAAACGAAGACAGGACTTTCACCAAGGAGACAGCTGTTCATGTCCCTGAGTGAAAGCTAACAAGTTGATAACATTAGAAATGGGTGCACCAGAAATTTTGGAGTTTGGTCCTTTTTGTCAGATGCTGGCTCAAGCTTGAGCATTTTAAGTAAATTGTGTAATATAATAAATCCTTACATTGTGTTAGGAGCTTTGCAAGTTTCAAGTTTTCGAAAGGTTGCACATCGATTGTGGCTACTGGAGATCTCGTCTCCTAACCTTTGCAACCTACAGTAGGCGGGGGAACGATAAATGCTTCAACCACTCAGAGATATTTTCTCCCTAAGAGATGTGATGTGGTGTTTAAGTGCTCACTGGGAACATCTTTTCAAATCGCCAGCTTCCTTTTTTCTCATTGTCTACAACATAAAAAAAGATGCACTCTTCAGATCGGTCAGAGCGAAGTACGTACCTAAACTGGGAACTGAAAAAAATAAAATGTTCCAGCCTTCACAAAAGCAAAGCACGTCAGGTTTTCTGTACATACAAATAGTGGAGCCTAAGGTGTTCAATTCCAGATTAAATGTTTCAATACAGGATGTCAAGACACTGAATTATGGAGGTAGACTAAATTAGTTTTGCAACCTTTTATTAGTGCTTGTTTGTTTATTTTTTGATGGATATTTACAACTAATTAATGTCAGAGTCATTTGTAACAAAAGCCTGAAGGTGCTCTTTAATTAACGTGATTCGGAATACTACGCTTTGCCACCAAACTTCCCAAAAGACACAGTTGAAAACATCTGGAAATGTGTTGTGTTAATTGTACCAACACACGGTTGCAAACTAAAAATGGTTTCTTTAAAAAGTTACAGGTAATATATAGCTTAAATATCAGCCGTTCACAGCTGCTCGATCAATTACGGAGTTTTTAAAATATGCGGGATTTTAAAAAGTTAAATATATGATTTTGTGTGGGTGAGAGTGTGCATTTGTGCGAGTTAGGTAATACGTGCTTAAGTCTTAGAAGCCTCAGGAGTTTCTGAAAATGTGGCACAAATTACACACAATCCAGAGAGAGAGGGGAGATAAGGAGGGACCGTTAACTACCGTACTGTCGTACCATTGAGACGTCGCTGTATCTGTGTCGCTAAGAATCGCTCACTGTTCTCACTGCACATCGACACAGCGAGGAGTCGTCGTCTATCCAACAAGGTTTTTCACAGACTGGAAGCCTCGCGGGAGTCAGGCTCGAGTCCAATGCACACCACCGCTGCTGCAGTGCAAAGGCAGATCATACAGCGCCATTGGAAACCAATTTTAAAGCTCCACAAAGCTGGATGTAAGCAAAACAGGAAAAGTAAAATGGCAGGACTGTTGACTTTGAGTCGTACAGCTCCATGTCTAAGCTGAGACATAAAAGGAAGACATGCTGGCAGAAGACCATAAAAGAAGACAGTCTGTCACTTCATAAAAAGAGAAAATTCAAAGTACAGTGGCCATGATGTGTCAATCAGGGAGCAGGTTCTGAGGATATATGCTGCTTTTGAGTGGTATGATGCTAGAAAATAGGACATTGGTATAAAGTTTCACACCACTGATGACTGAGGGATTCATGACTGTAAAATACTCATAGAAATGTGTTGAGCAATGCAAAATGATCTTGTTTTGCTCTCTCGAGACAAAGGGCAATGACGACAATTGGCTCTGCTGGCAAGCTAACATTAGCTAGTTAGCTATATAAGCAAAAATGGTCACAACCCACCTATTTTTTTTTACAAGTTATCATGACAGATGTAGAGCCTAATGTTTGTAAATGTCAAGAAAATACTAGACACATAAGAAAATAACTGACTCACAGTCTGAACAGTATTGACAGAAGCTAAAACTTTAGCTGACTTAGCTCTGAGCAGCTTGCTAACACCAGTTAGCCTAGCCTCTCTGTCAGCTAAAATGATAACACACACTCCCCCTATCTGGCTGATAGGGGGATTATTTGACTAATAGAGGTGTAACAAAATGACTATCAGGCCAGGGCTGTTCGACGAAAGTTTACATTTAATAAAGTACCTCCAGAGGGAATTGAACCCTAAACCAGCACAGCTGATTGCACCGACAAAAGACCAAATATTATTAGTTGTAGGTTTTCAGTGAAAAATAGTTAAATAAATTGCTTTCTCTGCTTCCTAAACGAGAAGCCAATGTTGTTATTGCTGTTTTTAAACCAGGTAGCTATAGTTGTGTGTTTTGGTCGTGTCTTCACAG